AGGAATATTATCACTTTCTTAGACATTTGCAAATAGGCACAGTGGTGCTGGGCCAAAATATGCTGAGATCATAATATCCATTTATCTAAACTGCCAGCATGTAATGAATTCAGGTGGGATGCCTTCTATCCAAATTAATTTACTACTTGAAAAGGACTTTTTACACAAATGCTGTCAAACAAGAAAACAGTTAGGAAACGAGAAGAAAACGTGAACACTGTGTTTGATCTTATTTTTAAGTGTAGGATTTAAAGAAAGAAAGATAGCTATGAGGAAGATAAGGATGGAAAACAGACTTCTTCGGAAATGAATTTCTATTTTTGCTGCTGATGGAGATGTCTACAATACCTAGCAAAATGCATTGATCCTAACTGTACAGTTGTTTCTTGAGCTTTCCAGTCAACTGAAAACACATCATATTTTAATGACCTACTGATCAGAATTACTCTGCTTGTAGAAAATCAAAATAGGTCAATATTCTGTGCAAGTTGACTTTCCGTCTTTCTCAAACTGCTTTCATGAGAAATCCTGAAATATCTTCTGCATTGTAACTTCCTTTCAGACTATATATCATTACAATAATCCAAGTTGGCTACAATTTCAGCTGTAATTTGTAAAATAGAACTTAACTTGGGTGCTGTATTATACTTGTTAACAAAACAATCTCTTTCACAAAGGCATGACAGATCTGAAATAATATATTCATTAGGAATTTTCAAATTATTGATCCCTGCAATGATATCCCCTGCCCCAATAATTAACATTCACATGTTATCGGAATCATTCAAAAGAACAAATTTCTGGCTATATAACAGTTTTATCTCATAACCTCAGTACAAAGCTACATCTCTGCATCACAATTAGAATGACAATAAAAGCAGACACCTGCACACCTGGCCTTCCCCCCTGCTCAGCCCCAAATCCCTGGTTTAATATTAAACCCTCCATACGATGAGGATTGCTAGAACAAAGTTCTAATAATTCCAGAAGTCAAGCTCTGGATATTTTTTCTATTTATTTTTAAACTCATTTTTAATTCACTGGAGCTATTTTAATTTATCCTAAGTTTAATGAATAAAGTGCACATTTAGACATACTCAAAATGAACTAAAAAAACACCAACACCCATGTACTGCCAAAATACAGCACATCTTAACTTCTGTTGTATTCTACACATAAGCAACTGTGTATTTTTAAACTACACAGTCCAAATGAACAACAACAACAAAAAGCATTTATACAGAGGAGGGGATACAGGAAGAGTTGACACTGGCCTCCTTCCCCCTCCTGAAGGGAAAAAAAATTATTAAAAGGTAACCACTTCCAACTTCTTATCAGCTGGCCTTTAAAAAGATGTCAAGTTGTACACTATCTACAGAATTTTCTGTTGATTTACACCACCTTCTTTTTCTATTTCAGATGTAAATTTACCTACTTCAACTTCTCACCACAATACAAGGCATAACTATAATAGAAACCTGGAACAGTGTATATACAAAATATAGTCCTATACTGGTGCTTTACTAGTAAGATTACGAATTTAACTCCTTGCTAAACTATTCAACCACAAACACATCCACTTCTGAAAGAGCATTTGTGTAGTCTAGTTCTCCTTTCTGCTATAAACCAAATTTGGGTTGAAAATATGTCCCAAGTGCTGTTCTGCTGACAATGAATTAAACTGAACACTATAGGAATTGAAATATCTGGAGTATACTCTTGTCAGAATTTTTGCATGAGAGGAAAAAAACAACTTGTAGAGCTACTTTCAGATTTGGCGGTTATATATAAATGTACATCAATACAAAGATTAAAACAAAAATGGAAATATATTTCACCTTTCTGGTAAAGCTTTTCCAACAACAAAAAAGAGGACTTTTCCTGTGCTATTGATACTATCAAGACAAGATTCAGAATAGGCTTTAAATACAGTATTTAAGAAAATATTGGGAGGGTGAAATCTCACATAGCTCTTACAAACGTGCTCATATTTGTTCATTTTCTTACCGTTCCATCACCTGAAGATAATTCACTGAATAAGAATCTTAATTTTGCCTTTTTAAGACTTTTTTTTTTTTAGGTATGAAGGTTAGAAGGGCTCAATCATCACTCAGTCTAAGACAACAGTAACCAAGTAGGACATTACTGAAATCTTCAGGGGAAACTGCTATCTGGCTGACACAGTTACCACTCAGAAAACAAATTCTGCCCTGTCCCCTCCCACACACAAGAGAATGATTCTGATGTAGTCCATCCATTTTCTTCCTTTTCTGAAATCACAGAAAAAGAATTCTATCCGGACTGTTGCTGTGAAAGCCAAGCCTTCTGGCTTCTACCTGGCCCATCCACTTTGAGGATAAAGCCTTTGGGCAGCTCAAACACCTAAGGCATTTCATGTCTTCATCTGACTTTGTAAACCTTCGTCTTCTGCCTGGTGTGTTCCTTCAGTTCAATCATCTTCTGGAAAAGGTGTATTGTTTGGCAAGGAGAGATTCTCTCTAAAAGTTCGTTCATTACGTACCCATGTAATGATTTCTGAAACACGTCTTCCTTTTTAACTACTCATACTATAAAAAAAGCCACTGCAGCAACACGGATTTGGCTATCCAGAATTCACAACAGACGACGCTGGATAGTTTTCAGCGGGTTTTCTTCCCATCCCACATGAAATTTCATTACCGCTGAACTCAACAGAAATTCTGTTACAACTATAAGGAATTTAGAACTGTCTCTCTTCTAGTTTGCTGTGCAAATAATCAAAGCGTTTGCTTGGAAAATTTGCCGTGTGCTAAACAAGACATCCCCTTACGGAATTAAAAAATTTTGCTTCAATATGGGACATTTTAAACCACATGTCAGAGCACAGACATGGAAAATTTGGAAACAACTACACTCACAACTTAAGTGCCACTCACAAAGCCACAAAAGAAGAAGATGTTGGGAAGCCTCTTTGCAAGGGCACAGCTAAACCCAGGGATCAGGACACTAACAGGAGAGGAGGTGAAGGCTGGGCAGAGACAGAAGGGAATGGGTTATTTTTACCAGTCATGGAGCATGCACAGAGTGTGGGTTACCCATCACTCCAGCAAGCGTGTTAATTGCTCTACTAGAGGCAATTCTGCGGTAGGGCCTCATTCAGACTCTGCTCTTGAAGCTGGTCGCCCCTTGGATGAATCAGTAAATACGGATGGCAGCGGAAGAAGGCAAATGAGCATGTGCCTGAAGGCTACGGCAATCAGCACAGGAAGAACTACATCTGGATTTAAATCCACCATCACCACTCCTTTTCTCTTTTTTTTTGGCCTCATTCGGGGCATGGAATGGATTGTTTCCTGCAGAGCAGGCTGTAGGGTATAAGGAGGGATGACTTCACCTCCTCTTCGTTTTTGTGATTGCCTCCAAAATCCACTTGCCAATCTTGCCTGAGAAGCAACCAAAAATCTTTTGTCTCAGAAAAGCTGATGGCAACCACATTCCAAGTTTTTTCTTCAAGCAAGGAGTGCTGTCCAAAGGAGCCTAGATATAGTCTGACAATGCATTTTCTTTGGCCATCAGCTTCTGGGGAAAAAATATCACTATACTGTAAACTTCTTTACAGCCTAAACTATAATTAACTTCACTGGAAGTGAAATGTGAGGTATAATGTGCAATCAAATGAGAAAAAGCCAAAATATGATCTCTACTGTATATCATATTCATTTATATTACAAGAAAGAAATTTTAATAATTAGGTGGAAAGTTATATTGCACTGCATTTGACTTTACTGTACCCTCACTACTAGGCAATTATTACAAAGGTTCAAGTCAAAACCCAAAAACATACTAGGACTAAGCAGCTGCAAATAAGGAGTAAGTAGCTGCTGCTAACCATACTAAAACACTAGTAGTGTATAAATTAAAATGAAAGAACCTTTAGACTAGGTAGAAGGTATATATCTACAAGAACCATGTTCCTGCAGAAATATACCTTATATTCATTCCCCCAGATTTTTTGACAGCTGAATTCTAGAGGTTAAATTATTTTTAAAACATATGCTTATATACACATTACTTAAAATTAAAGGAAAACCTAACAGAGCCCTATCATTTTCTATTTTTTCATGACTGTTAAGTAATAAGAAAGAAATTAGAATGATAAACATAAATACACTATCAGCAACATTTCTTCACTCTTCTATAAACAAATAAGAAAACTCACACACAGTAAGAAAAAAAACGGCTTGAAATGACTGAACAGTCATTCAAGCAAAAGTGAATACAATTTACCATTTAATATGGCTTTGTTCAATTCAAAGACAAGACTTCACTGTGAAGTTCTGACTTACAGCTGTCCAGCACTATGAACTCCTAAATAAATAAACAGGTAAAAATAGAAGAGTGCCGTCCACAACAAGGGACTCCCAAGAATGCTGCCATTTGTTATTTACATGACAGAAACACCCCAAAGAGGATTAATATATCTGAAGCGGGAGGCAGAGCCTCACTAGGATGCACGCTGGGCTATCACGTAGCCAGCAGCATGCCCTGCCCTGAAGAGTTTATTGTGTTAGTTAAGAGAAACCAGCACAACTGACTATAAAAGGAACAATGAGCAAAGGGAAGATGTAGCAGTAAGCTGGAACAGAAAGTCGCAGGACAAGATATGTGCCTTTTTGCTGTTGGCTTGTTTTCTGTTGTGTTTTTTAAGTAGAGGAAAACAAAGGGGTCAGGGAATTAATGAGTTTCTCCACCCATAAATTTAACTACTGTCAGTGTATAGTTATACTGTGGTTACAATGATACTGGTGTATCTCAAGAGATGATTTTAAGACGAAGAATCAGCTTGTGGATGAACTTTACTGCACAGAGAGCAGGAAGTTACAAAGATGTAAGCACAAGAGATAAGAACCAAAACGATGATGGAGGGAGGAAAAAAAACATGAATGTGTCAACAGCTCCAGTTACCAGGTGCAGAAACAGTAGAAGCTTTGCAAGGGATGAGAGCCAAACATGGCACAAACGAAGCCACACTCCTTTCTCCACCTCCTCATACATTCCCTCAAAGTACATCAGGGCCCTAAGATCAAGAAAAAGCTTTCTCGCCATCTGGCCCTAGGAAGGAGCTGCAAGAAGAACTGTCAAAAGGTGAGCTGGTAGTAACAGTCGCAGAAGTTGACCAAGTCAGGATGTTCGGGTACTGAGGGAGAGCGCTGCACATATTGCAATGAATTTCTGCCCCGTGCAGACTGGCTGCTTGCATGTGTCCTCTACTTCATCCTCCACTTCACTCCCTGCATCTCCGCTCCCCATCTCCTCTCCTTCTTCCTTCAGCATTGCTTCTTGTGTGTCCCCCTCACCATGGGATAGCACAAGTTCTGAATGATGAATAAGCATGCTTGAAAAAGAGGGGGAACGTCATCCCATGCACAAGAACGAAGGCATGGAGCTTGACACGGCGAGGCATAAGCTAGGAAGTATGGTGTTTGGGACAAAGCAAGTGAGAACAGAAGGTGAACAGAAGGTGGCTGCAATGCTTAAACTAGCGGAGTGCCTGAATTAATGTTTTAGAAATGCATGGTGACAAAAAGAGATGGACAGGGGAACTACAATAACCACACATGAGCCATAAAGACAACAGGGGGGGTGTGCTACACTGAAAAACATGGGAACATCATACAGCAAATGAGAGATTAGGTTCTGAAATAGTTCCCAAATTAAAACTGTGGAAGCCAAAAGCCACTGTCACAGTCACCTGAAAGGAGATGGCAAAGTGCATCCAGGCCATACTGCATCACAGGTGTTTGATACATACAGACCATTAACAAGGTTGTACTTAGATGAAGCGAAACTCGCTATCTATTGAGAGAGATGCCTTCAGAGAACAATTCAGAGGATTTTAGTTACTTCTTGCTTACTTCTTGCCCTTACAGGAGCATTTCTCACTTCGTCAGCTACAGAACTGCAGGGGAAACAGCTGGTTGCATCTCAAGTAAGTCTTTAGACTAAACTCCAATTAGTTTGCTTTACTTCATTCACATGGCGTCTTAGTATTTCACAAGACCAATTAAAATTTCAGATAGAAGAATTCCGAGTAAATATTTCTTTCTTTTTTTCAAAATAGATACGGCCTTCTTTGAGCCTTAACAGTTCACTTCTTTATGCATTCCTTTTGTTTCTCTGACATCCAACTCATCATGATTTGGTTTCGCTTTTTTAAATCAACAGTTTCTCTGCTGAAACTACATTAGACACATTAGGATGAAGGAAGTTCCGACTGGATAACTAGAGGAACAATGCAAAAACTATGACAAAAATACCCATCTTTGAGGTATTCATATCCAGTACATAAACCACTATAAAATCTTCTCATAGCACAAGTTATACTTTGAAATAAACACCACAAATTTTGCAAATAATGACTAATCATAATCTAATCCCAGTTGGTTTGGGTAAGGCTGTTTCAAAATAAGTGCTTTGCCATTAAAAAAGGCATTAACCAAATCTTTGAGCAGAATTAAAATGAAAAAATACACATATAATGAAATTAATTGACAGAAAAATGTCTTGTGTTTTTCCTTTCTTCTTCTCAAAATAGTATGAGGACAGAACTTGATAATAGATCAATTTGTGGATACAGTGTTAAAACATAGGAAACAAAGTATAACTTCAAGCAAAAAAACCCACAGAAGGCAAATTTGTGTCAATAAACCAACCACTATTAATATTACAGAGTAGTAATTAGGAACAACTTAGCATTGTAGATATTTAATTACAATATTGAGAGAACAAATGTTGGCTCTGATGGTTTTAAAAATGTAGCTTAACTTTAGAATGCATATGAAAAGCATCCAATAAACTTTTCATCACAGCTGAATGGTATTTAGAACGCCTCTTAACTTTCTGAATGTCTATTTTGTCCTTGACTGACTCTGGAGAGGAAGTACTTAAATAGCAATTCACATTGCAAATATGAACATTCGATTCCTATATTTCTTAGTGGTCAACTATACCATGGCCATGCTTTCAGGAAGAAGTCACAAACACCTTTTAAGCGTTTGGATCACTCTTAACACTTTCTAGCTCCTTCTGCACAACTGCGGTTTCGTTTGTTCTGTTTTTCCAAAGAAAAGAGATGGAAACGTCTCTAGACCTCAAGGTTTTGTACCCTTTCACAATCCAGTGTTTTTTTGGAAAACCGTCACATCACACAGTTGGTTTAGAGAATGCTGGTCCTATGAAACAAAAGTCTCTAATACAGCACATGATCCATGTGGTGAGGGTCTGTTCCACCTTCCACAAAGTTTCTTACTTTAGTGGGGTACCACCTTCATACCTGAAGAAGTCTGTCCGCAATGGACCACTTGGCAGGATGATTAGCCCCAAAATTCAGTCAAGACATCACAAATTACCTGAACTAGAAATGCAAATAAATACTGACAACAAAACCTGAGGTATGTTGAAAACAGTATCTCTACAGATTGGCTGCATGGGTCACATTCTTTCCTCAGGGCCTTCAGACACGCAAAGGACCATCATGTTCAGAAAAGATACCCTGGAAAAACTGAGCGGTTCTGACATCAGAGAATTTAAACTAGCTGTGAATCCCATTGAGGAGGTATGACTCATCTCTGAGGTTTAAATTAGATTATCAACCAAGTGAAGAAGCACAGTAAATCTACAATAAAAGATGAATGCCTACAGGAAAATAATTTTTGCCCCTAGTGGCAGATGCTTGAACTTTAAAGGATCTGAGACTAAGCTCTTTGTCTAAGCCTTCCCGACAGAAAACAATTGAAATAATTTCCTTAGTTGGTCTAACTTTGCTCCATATGCCACATGGAAACAATATCTAAACCCTGTTAAAAAAAAAAAAGTATATTGTCACTTCTAAACCAATTGAGGATCAAACAATTTACAGAAACCAAGACTTATTTTGCTGACAATTAAGCTCTATCACCAAGACTTGAGATTCAATGAAATTTGACAATTGTGAAGAAAGACGCTTTTGTCTGAGTAAGTCTGAAGCATTTGGAAGAATCAACAGAAAATCAGAAGACTGAAATAGATCGAAGTATCAGAGCCTTTGAGCATAGTCTAGAATTCACTAATTAAAAATAACTGCCTTCCTTGCCCTGTTTCCTCTCTGAATTGCTTTGGTATTACTGCAGAAAGCCATACAGCGAGAGGCAAATTTAGTCTAAGGAGCAAGCGTTACACTCATCACTTACATCAAGAGCACACTTTGTCTATCTTCCTGGTCAATATCCATTATGAAGAACCACCAGTCCTTTTAAGATGAGACGAAAGACAAGTACAAGTCACTGCTGTACATCAAATCTCAGGAGTGTGAAGGACATTTTAAGCCTTTTTCTTCCGTGCTGAATGCCATCATATTCACTTTGTACTAATTCAGATATAAAGAAGTTTGTAAATTCTATATTATTGTAGTGCTGGTAGTCATAGAATCATAGAATCATAGAATGGC